GAGCAAAGGTGTGGCCGGACCTGGGACAAAGCCGTCCATAGTTAACAACCATCTTTGGGAATATCTACCATCCTTAAGCGTTCCCATTTTTATGGGTTAAATACCCTTTTCTGCTCCCCTGACTCCTAAAGGAACAACCTGACAGAGGCTCACTGGGCAGAAGGGGAAGGAGAGGTGGACAGGTGGAGCTTCTCACGTTACTATAAAATCTGAGCTCGCTCCATCTGTGAAGGAGGCTTATCCACTAGATGGCGGTAGAACTAGTCATTTGGTACAAAACAAAGCTAAATTCTTAACCTCCCTCACTGCTTCTATCAATATTTATTTCAGATGGTTCAAAGATTCAAATAAAAGAAATTAAGATAGCAAAAGTACTTAACAAGCCCTAAAATTTGATACAAGAAGGGGTTTAAAAATATGACATAGAATCTAGAAGCCAAGAAGCAAAGGTTTGGAAAGCTTCCCTACTATCTTCAAAATATATTTGAATGGATGCTATATACAATATACAAGAGACTTTATAAACAAACCAGAGAAACAAAAGGCAAACTAGAGAAGAAGATCTGAAATGCATCTACCAGGACAAAGGTTAATATCCCTAATATACAAAGAGCATCCGCAAATCACTAAGATAATCATCTCTCAGATGGAAAAATGGAATAAGGATACATGAATCAAAAATTCACAAAAAATACATACGAATGGCTCATAACATAGGAAAAGATAATTAGTGTGACCAGAAAAATAAATGAATGCAAAATAAATCAGCTAGGAGAAAAAAATTCTTATTCTTTTGGACCATGATTCTGGGTTTATGGCCACCATATATTTTCCTTCCCAAACTTTCCTCCTTGTCCTTGGAACTACAGGACAGAGCCAATAAGCTGTGCTTCAGGGCACCCCAAAAGCCAGTGTTGGAGAGGTGAGCTCAATAAATTACAACACAGCCACACAAAAGAGTGTTATACATGATAAGGCAGAGTTACTCAGAATTTGTAAGCACATAGGGAAATACGGATGCTTGTGGTGGGTGAAAGGACTAGTGCTCAAAATAGTACAAGTAGAACGAAAGCCCTTTCTGAAAATGTGCAAGGGAGAAAGATCTGAAAACCAACCCAAAATGTTCCCACTGCGTTTCCAAGTGTAGCTTTCCCTCCCTTCTACTTTTCTGAATTCTGAAATTGATGGTGCCACATTTAACATTTATCACTGGGAGAAAAATGTAAAACCACTAAACATCATAAAGCATTTTCCTACTTCAAAGACTTGGTAACCCCGTTGCCTAAACTGCTCACCCAACGTCCTTGACAACAGACAGACCCTGTGAAACCATCAGCCAGCGCTTCCAGTTCATACAACTTACACCCTGATGTCAACTTTGCAAGGGCAGCTACAACCAGACCCTGCTAAGTGCTTCCACGCATAGTGTATTAAATCCTCATGTCCACCAACCAGCAGCTTCTATTATTATCCCTCTGTTAACCACACAGACATCAGAGCTCAGAGAGGCTCGGACCCCTGCCCAAGGTCACACAGCTCAGAAATAGCAATCACAGGGCCCCACCCAGCTGTGTCTAACACGGCTGCGGCCGAGCCCCTAAACTGATCAGTGTTAACCTCTCCCGAAAGAAGGAACAGGGAGAGACATCCCCTCCCGTATGGGGTCTTTAAAAACCAAAACAAGGCAGGAAAAGACCATTTTGAGACACTCACCTCTTCTTCAGCAATGCTCGTCTGCCTGTCTTCTTATTTACTCTTTCTTTGGTTTTACCATTCTCTCTCTCTCTCTCTTTCAGTCTCTCTCTCTCACTTTCTCTCTCTCCCTGCTTTTAACTAATCACTCAGTTAACAAGTTGGCTTTCTGAAGGTTGGGTCGGTACCTAGTGACTCCGAGCACGATAAAGAAATCAGCCGTCACCAATACAGAAGTCAGAAAGGTTTAAATCAAATCATCCTCCACAACAATGACATTAATTATGCTTTTAACACGTTTTACTGCTTTTTTTCTCACTTCACGCCACATCTGTGTGAACAATATCCAAAAGATTTACGGTTTTCTTTCGTAATTACAGACATACAGGCTGCACACTTATCAAAATACTTGCTGAGCAATCACGCTCTATCGCATTCTCTGCCAAAGATTTGTGTTGGCAGTAGTCATTCAAAACAAAAATGTTGAATCAGGACTTGTGTGGCTTCGGGGGTGTGTGTGTGTGTGTGTGTGTGTGTGTGTGTGTGTGAGAGAGAGAGAGAGAGAGAGAGAGAGAGAGAGAGAGAGAGCATTTCGACAAATAATTTGCCTGTCAAAAAATATAAAAACAGGAGTGTGTGCACCCTGGCAAAAATGTCCAGGAGTGTTATTTTTAAGGAGGGGTTGAGGGAAACGGGAGGAGGACAGTGAGCTGAGAAGCTCGGAGCCCCCAAAACACATCTGACATTTGGTTCTTGTGTCTGAGGATAAAATTTAATGAGAACAAAAATATGTCTTCCTAATTCCCCTAAGAAATCATTAAAACATTTTGTTATTCTTAAATGTCTTGAAAATGAATTAGAGCCCCTAAAGGGGCCATTCGTACAGCGTCTTCATCCTCACTCTGCGGCTCCGTGACAGCTGGGATGTACGCCTCCCCCACCCCTCCATTTCTGGGGAGCGGAGTTGGGACATCATAGGTGTGGAGTCAGCACTGGATTTGGAAGGACACTTTGGGGAGAGGGGTTAGAGGGCACAAGGACCTTCTGGAAAGTTCTGTGCCCATGTGCCATGTTCCCGACTGGTAGTGTGGTTCTGGCTCTGGTATTGTGTGAATAACTCTATGTCCAGAAAGATGAAGGTCACGTAGGGAACTCCAGAAATGATGCCTGTTTTTCAAAGGGTCTGTAGCCCCTCCTCAGGCCCGAGCAGTAGAGTTGCTGCCGCCCAGGTTTTGGATGACAGATTACTGAAGCAACGGTCTGTCACCTCTGTCTCCTAGAATAAAGCCCCCCAAGGGCTGAGCCGATGCTTGCATCTGCAGACCCTTGGCTTGTTCCCAGAGTCTAGTGAGTGGGAGGAGCACAGTAGGTACTCAATAAGTGCTATCCCAGCTAGTAAACATGTGACAAGCAGAGGCTTTAGTTGAAAAAGTGCCTTTCAAACAAACAATCCTTTCTTTTCTGCACCCGAGTCTTATCTCTAAATCAGCCAACAAGCAATTATTAGGCACCACTGTGTACTGGGTTCTGAATATACAAATTTGGTATGACTCAGTCCCAGGCTTGGAGAATTGCACATCTCCTAGGGAAGCCAGACATGTAATTGATAATGAGAGTAACCAATACTTAGCAGGTGTATATTATGGGCCGCACACACTGAAGCCTCACAACTGTACACAGGTGCTGATATTAGTTCCAGACTACAAAGGCGGAGACTGATGCTCAGCGAGGTGAATTAATTTAAGTTGTACAGACGGGTCTGGAACCTGATAGGAAGTATGCGCCATCTCAGGGCTGCCCCCTGGAGTTACAGACAAGGTACTGCAGGGTCCGGTGGATGAGCCCCCGTGGGGGCTCCGAGCAAGCACCTCTGGGGTTTGCACTGAGTTACCTTCCAGTGCACTTGTCGCTGAAACTACAGGACCCGAAGGACTGAAAAGGGTGGGAAATAAGAGGGTATATTTTTCTAAATTTTTCCAGATACCTCTGCTGAGGGTGAGATATTTATAGGCAAAAAGGTGGATAGGAACCCTATGAAGGGACATCAAGGACCCGATAAAGGACTGGGGGCTGTCTGGGTGCAAGGAGTAAGCATAGCGGGGTCTCCCCCAAGCTCCACTAGTGCTAAGCAAACTACTACCTCTGGCTCCCATTCTGGGTGGCAGAGGATGGGACATCGGAAAAAAGGGACACTTTGCAGACGTATATAATGTATCAACCGATCTTAGACACACAGGTGAATGTTCTCAGACTGCCACAGCTCTGTAACCCACCCAGAGGTCCTTTTCAGGAACTCATGGCCCCTCCCTGCCCCCCAAGAGTATACTCTCTCTTGACTTCTAATGGTACAGGTTCAATTTTTTTTTAAATTGAGGTAAAATTTCTGTTAAAATGAAACTTACCATTTTAAAATGTACAATTCACAATTCAGTGGTTTTAGTACATTCACGATGTTGTGCAATCACCATCTTTACTTAGTTCCAGAATCCTCTCACCTGCCCCAAGGGAGTCTCGCACCCATTAACAGTCATTCCCTATTCCTTCCCCCAGCCCCTGGCAAGCATCAATCTGACTAATTTCTCTAGATTTGCTGTTTTGGACATTTCAGGTAAACGGGAGCCTATGCTGTGTGACCTTCACGTCTAGCTTCTTCACTCAGTGTCGTATTTTGAAGTTTATCCACATTGTAGCAGATGTCCGCACTTCATTCCTTTCGTGGCTGAATAATATTCCATCGTATGGAACTGATCACATTTTATCTTTCTATTCATCTACTGATGGACCTTTGGGTTTATTCCCCCTTTTGACCATTGTGAATAGTGCTGATGTTGATTTGTGCCTGTTTTCACACTTCATGTCGATGGAGTCATATAGTACACACTCTTTTGGGTTTGACTTACTCTCCACATCAAGCTTTTGAAGCTGAATGTGTCACATTGGGGGAAATAGTTCTGGTCTTTTCTCTAGCGCCTTCTGCTGGTGGAGCCCTGGGCACCTTCTGCCCTTTATGGCAATGGGGTTGGGTTTTCTGCACATAAGAGATTCAGTTTCCCAAAAAGGTCCAGATGGAAGAGCTTGCCAGGAGCTCCCCAAAGCCTCTAAAGTCAATGGGGGGAAATGGAGAAGCCATGTGCAGACATGTCACATTACACTGGGTGTAGATCCCGAGACCCCCACAGTCCCACTCATGGAGGGTCCAGCCTCATCCGGAGGTCTTGGCTTGTCCCCAGACCCCACTGTGAGGAAGCCCCGTGTGATGGTCTGAACGGCAGTTTCTTGTTCATTATTTATGGTTCCAGTGGTCTTACCTGGCGCTTCAATCAACTGCTTGTAAACACTCAGGAACGCGGCCTCAGCCTCCTGACTTCGCTTACTAAGGGCCACCACCTTCGGAAACAAGAGAGAGAGTCACGTGTCACCATGGCATCTGAGTCTACAAGCAAATCTGATCAATTCCCACATGGACAGACGTGGGATGGAGGGGAGAGGAAACGGAGGGTCACAGTGTGGAGTCAGTGAGTCCAGGTTCAAACCCCAGCTCCACGCAACCCCGCCACTGTGTGACCTTGGGCACATCACCCCTCCTCTCTAAGCCTGTTTCCTCATCTGAAAAATGGGGCTAAATGACAAAGCCAACTGCCGAGGGTTGTTCTGGGCTGACAAGAAGCTGCATGTTAAGGGTTAGCACAGAAGTGCTTGATAAATGCCCTTGACTGTTGAATACACGGTCAACTGGGTGACCCAGTGGTGATGAGCTACCCCCACACGCCTATTCGAAGCTCTTTCTGGGGCTCAGCACTATCTCATCCTCCACTCCTGACTATGATTCAGGATCCTGGCTCTTGGTGGCCAACCCCGTGGCATAGGCCTGGGGTGCTCCTGGCACCCACCGGCTCCCTTTCTTATCTCCTCAAGGAACTTATGGGACGGAATGACTTTACTCTCCCTGCACCCATCTACCTCTCCCGCCTCACAGTCCAAGTGATGAATCTAGCGGAACACCTACTTGTCAGTGACTTGTCTTCGGAGCTGGGTTTTTCTTACGAATCCCAGTGAACCCCACTTGGGTGGTGTATGTGTGTCTGTTTTTAATTCCTCCCAGAACGAAGTTCTGTGAGCACATTCTCTAGCGCATACATGGTGCTCAACATTATCTGTTAATGAACAAATCCAAGGGGTTGCACTAACTCGGGTCCCGTGACACCACCCTGGAGAAACAGCAGGGGCCAGTCGTGCGATGCTCCATTCACAGAGGCAGACTTGAGTAGCAGAGTGAAACCCCAGTTTCACCACTAAGGAGCTGTGTGCCTCAGGCCGGGTGGTCACTTCAACCCCTGTACCTTGACGTCCCTTCTGTAAAATGGGACAAACATGACATCCTCCCTCAGAGGGCTGCTGGGAGATCAGGCCATTTAATACAGGAGGATTCCTTGCAAAACTCGAGACATGCATCAAGCCCTAGAATATCTCTGGGTATGAAGGACCCTTTCCTTCTTGCCTGCAACTGAGGTTCGGCCCAGGGCTGGGTGATGAACCTCACCGCTCGCCTCTCTTGGCGATATGAGAAAGTCCCCCATGTCCAAGCAGGGTGGCACACACTCTGGGAAGAAGCCTGAAGTCACAGTGGTTCCTCTAAGGCTTCAACAGGGCAGACAGGAGCTCACGTGGTCCCTAAGTTCTGGAAACGTGGTGGGTTCCAACCGCGGTGCACCATGAAAGCAAACGACGCATCAGGTTTCAAAACTCAGTACGGAAGAGAAAGTACAACAGCTCCCGGCATGGTGCATGTGGATTATTACATGTGGAAGCGATAACATTTCGGATATATTGGGTTGAATAAAATCTATTATTCAAATTCATTTCGGACCTCCCTGGTGGGCGGCAAGGGGTTAGGACGCAACCTATGAGGCGATCCACAGCCCCTGCAGCGCGACTTTGATCCCCAGCCCGCCGCCAGGGAGCAGCCCACATGGCGCAGCAGACCTCTCCTGTCTCGCCCGCTGCTCCCCTCAGCAGTGTGCTTCGGTTGATCTGTCTGTCCTGTTCCCCGCTCTGTCTCTGGTGAATCCTCTCACCCCTGCACCTCTGTCTGTACCCCAGCTCTTGTACACTAAATAAATCTTTAAAAAAAAAAATTCATTTCACCTGATTTCCTTTGCTGGTTTCAATGTAGGTACTATATAGTGTAAAATTACATCTGTGATAACACTATTGTTCAACTGTCAACATGGCTTGAGGTTTTTTTTTGACAAAGTCCATATTGAATATGTACCTCTAAGAGGGGTAGAGAGAAATGTGTGGTGGGTGCTAGGTAAGCGATTTTACAAAAGACCAGTAACAAAGCTCCCTCAACACTCCGACTGTTCTGACAATAGTCTCTGGTCTTACCTTCCAGAATGAATGATGGTCTCTCATTCATTCAATGAACACTTTCTGAGCACCTGCTATATGCTCTCTCGCTGTCTGGGCTGAGACCTTTGCCATGCAGTCCCACCCTTCTGGGTGCCCCCAGACTAGGGGGGAGACCGACACAAAGCAGAGTCCCCAGAGAATTCTTTCATTACAAGTGCTACATGCTTCAAGGGGAAAGTACTGGGGACTCAGGATGTGTAAACTGCAGGGAGGCTGACCTAGTTTGTGGGGTGGGACATCAGGGGAAGATGGTGGTGGACAGAAAGAATGTTCTAGAATCTAGGCAAAGGGGACATCACCAAGTGTGGGCAGATTTTTATTATTATTTTTTTAAATTTTTTTATACAATTGCAACCCCCTTATTTTGACCTCAATCCCTCCTTTCCCTGCCCCCGCCCCCATAGTGTGTCTCTGGTTCATAGCTGTTTGTTGATTTTGATTTTTTTCTTTCTTATAGTTATTCTCAGATTTT